CAGCTCTGAATTCATAACCTGTGGAGGTTCATTTGGGGAACTTGTGGCACATAGTGTACCAGGTGTCTGTATTCAGCCCTTCAAAAAGTGTGGTTGGTTCTGCACAAAGCCTTTAAAGGTTTAGAGTGGGGATTCCAAGAACATGCAATGAGCTAAAGTCAAAAATTATCCAGTACCCACAACCAATGTTGTGCTGGTGTTGATATTCCACCAACACTCCTCTTTGATGCAGTGAGAGAGGTGCTGCTGCAGAGTTGGAATCTCCAGGACCAAACATCTCTCATTTATTTGTTGTATTCTGCGTGAAGACAGAAACACAATTGAGAGACAAAATGTAGTTTATCTGTCCAAAGGCAGAAACTACACTTTGATCACAGCTTAGTAGCCAGGGAGTGTATATTTACCTGGCCTCCTCACTTAGGCAGGATATGACGTAACATTGATTTTATTACGTGGGGAGCCCATATATATACGTATGCATACAGGCCAAGGACAAAAATTGCCTAGTACCTGTGACTGGCATCGATATTATACTGACCTCATCTATTTTAGTGCAATGAGGAGTGTGTTGCCACAGAGTTGGAATGCCTTGGACTAGGTGCCTTCTCTCATCTCAAATGACAGATACTTCTCTTTGATCTCAGCCATATGTCCAGGGAGTGCAGAAAGTTTTACAATTAAAAGAAAAATATAGACATTTTATTTGATTATGGCAATAAATGTTCTTTTAAAATACAGTTTCAAACTAAATACATTTATTTGTAGTCAAAACAAATTATCCATTTGAACCGAAATGATAATTATTTTTGTGGTTCACACTCCTTTTTGGTTTTTCAAACAGGCGTAGAGGTTTATCTCTTGTTTCCTGTTTAGGATTGGGCTTCTAGTTCTTTCTAAAGTCTACTATACTCCTAATGCTTGTCCTTTCCTATGCTAATAAAAATCCACACAGTAACCCTCTACCTCGAGTGGCTTTTGTGCTTTGTATTATTAGTAAAAAAAATGTTAAACATAAAACAGATAACCAGTTCAAAGAATTGCAAATTAATTGTTCTTTTTCATTCAGAAAATATGAAGAAATATATAAAATAAACAGAAACAAAGAAAGATTTCAGATTTTAAAGGAACTCTTATAAATTAAAAAAACATAACAATAATTATCTTTGCTATAATCAAATTTTCTAAATTCTGGTACCCTTGAATTGTAAAATATTTGTAACTCACAAATGCTATGTCTGAAGAAGGTGACATTTTTTTCAGTTTATTTAGGTTAAAAGATTTCATTCTCAACAATTCGTGTAACACAATTGATTCTAATTTATACGTGGGGTGCTCTCCAATTCTCTCCCTGCTGAGCAAAGAAAAGCCACACTAGCCTGACGTGAATTTATCTAGAAAGTTAATATACTTCAATATTCTCACTCTTCCAGCAAATGTTTCTACTTGATTATTCACACTTCATCACAAAGATTGTCGTTTGAATGGTCCTTTCTTTCTTCAGATATGATTTGATATTTTCTGCTTTCACATTGAATAAAACTTGCTTACGTTTTATCCTAAGGGATCAGCATGTTTCACCTTTGTATTCTTTTCTACACTCACACAAGATGTTATAAATGCAATATTTACCAAGGCAAAACCTGTAGAGCTTGTGCCTGGATAATGAACTGTGCAGGGTTGGACCAACTGTGGGAGAATGGCATCAGAGGCATTGAGCTGGAAGAGATGAACTGATTGCGTCCAGGCTTTATATTGGACGTACTACCATGCCCAATTCATGTATCCTAAAAGAGGAGGACCTTCATGCCAAGGGTTTTTCAACATAGAGCATCTGCTGATGAACTGCAGCAATTTTAATTTGATCTGTTTAAGGTGCTACCAAGCATCAACCTTGAAGGAACTTTTTCAGAATACTCGTCCACTTTATATATTCTAGTTTTTAAGACAAATTGAAATGATCTCAAGAAAGAGAAAATGTAAACCATAACTAACATCCATCTTGTTGTATAGAAGAAAAAAAAAATTTTGACTTTGTCTATATTTCTGAGATGAGGTATTGTAATAATTTACGGTATCGCTGTCTTCATCTTTATGGTCATGCTCGCGACATTTCAGTTGTTGTCCACTCCGGCCTTCTTTAGGTGATTGGAATTTCGAACTGAACCCTTTATTTCATTCACTGGGGTAGATTGTTCTAGTTCTACGTGCCATGCCTCTTCCACTGA